TATTAATAATAGTGATAATAGCAATATAGCAAGTTCTATTGCAATATTATAGCAATAATAACGAGCTAGCAATCTTTAAAAATGTTAACAAATAAGAATAGTAAAAATATTGTTAGAAACACTGTGGTATCATTTAAAATGTTGTATTTCTTGGCTGAAAATATTATCAGTCTTTTCCTGAAATTGATTTACTTGTCCCTACAAACACACCCACGCACACATGTATAAGCAGACACACATATACAAAATTCTATCTCTATACAAAAGAAATAAGGAAATGGAACATGTCAAATACTAGATCATTAAAAGGATCCCATGGTCACTTATTCATACTGATACTAGCACCTAGAGAGGTTTCATGATCATTTAACAACAAAGTCAGCCTTTTTAAAATCAATAATTACTTCATTGTGACGAGTCTGCATGGTTAATGACGTTATATTCTCACACTGACAAACAACTTGTGCTTTACTGTGCTAGATATTGTTGCACTAAATACTATGCAGTAGAACAACTCTTGCATGAAATCAGAGAAATGAAGTGAAACAACCCAGCTCAGATTAGATGACACATTTTGGAGAAACAGTCCTGAAAATAACACAATGGGAAGCTAACAGTTTGAAATATAGATGTTGCTATTATTTATACTATGCTATAACAGTGCCCGGGGAAATATACAAAGGGAAATCTATCACAAGTGTATATTATATGAAACTATCAAAGAGCAAATGAATGGATTTTGAAATGACTGTCACTGAGACTTTACTTTAGATAGGAATCTTAAGATACGTTTATATAAATGTATACAAATGAGAAATATGTAGGGGGCACTTATACAATGCTCTAAAGCTTGGTTAACAAATCATATTGGTGTATTTGGACAACATATGAAGGCAAAACAAAATACTAATTTATAATATAGTATATAATATGTCACAGGCTCTCATGCTATTATATAATGTATATTTTTACATTTACTAGTTACTATGGTTTAATTCCTTAACAAAAAGAGTATAGTCTTTTGTCCAGTTCTCTGAGAATTAACTCAATAAAGTCAATAGCGTATCAGTAAATAATTGTATTAATTATAATCTTTGGTTTTCCTTCAGCTGTTTAGTTGCAGAATAATTATTATTCTACAGATCATCTTTTTGATATGTTATAAAGTCACATCTTGATATGTTTCTTGTCTTTTTAATAATCCTACTGCACAGAGAGAACAACTTGAGTTTCTTGTAGCTCACTAACTCCTTGATGTCATGTTTACATAGTACCTTCTCTTTGCTAAAGAGAAAAATGTTACTTACTCCATAAGTTCTGCACAGAACATCTAAGTAAGCTTAGAGTAGATTTGGTGCTATTTATAACTGTATTAGCTAAAATATGCAAAAATTGACCTGTACTGTCATTACCATTAAAGGGGAATTGTGATTATAAGTGTGTACGTTCTATAGCTGTGAAAGATTATGTGAAAGATTAAATTGATCAAGGCTATAACAAGTGGCAGAAGTCAAGTCTATGGTATCCATCTAATATCATATAGAAAATAGTGGATTCAAAGAGGAATGACAAAAATAATGAAACAAATAAATGAATAATAAAGAAGGAAGGAAGTAAAATAAATATGCAGTATGCCTGTGAAACTAAGAGATGGGGCAAAGACACTTTTAATTTGAATGAAGGTGGTTTTATCTTATGGAAATGATAAAGATACAAAGGAAAGTGAAGGTGTAAGATTCTAATCTATAAGATTAGAATTCATAGGTTGTGATGGTCATGTTACACTCTGGTGAATGTTCCTAATGGAAGAACCAGAATCAGAAATATATTTTTGGGAAACATGTATTAGATAAATGGGCACAAGTTTCTTGATCTGGTCTATCTAGTGGAGTTAAGATTAGAACTACAAGTCAACATTTGGAAGTGGATCAGGCAGAGGCCTATCTGTTTCACTGAAAAAGGAAAAAAGGTAGAGCACAAACAAACTTAAAAGTTTCTTTTTTATTACAGCCAATCTCAATAAATTTAGTTTTAGCCATCCTATAGCTATCTAGTGATCTGAGCTATCTAGCGGGCTGTCACAAGATGAGAATGTATCCAAAAAAATGTCAGGCCATTTTTGGAAATGAAAGAATGGGTAAGAATAGTGACTGGTCATTATTTCTTCAGGAGCAAGAAATAATACAAATCTGTATTTTAAGCATAAATTTATTCATACATATGTCTGGAAAAGGAATCTAAAAGTATGATTTGACTGGAAAGAATTATGCAAAAAGAATTAGCAAATGATACAAGAATTCAAGAGGCCTTGAATGTGGATTAGTGGAAGTAAAATAGAGGATTTAGAACCTGCTTGGAACAGAATACAAAGAATTGTTACACATTGCCACAGAAAGCTAGGTTGTTATGTTATGCTTGTATAAGTAGCTTAGGGAAGGCTACCTGATGGAATGATGAACTGTGGAGTTGAGCTGGAAAGCTGGAAAGTATCAGGAATGATCTAAAAGTTTGTTGCAAAAGAGCAGAAGAAAACAGCACAGAATTTAAATCCAGGGATATGCAGATAACACCATTATATTTTTCACTTAATAGCATCACTTTATTTTTCTATAGCTCCTTGATTCTGTAATAAAATTATCATCTCTAAGTCAACTTCAGACTTTGGGTGACTGCCAATCTTCAGAAAAGGAATATTGCAAGACACTACTATCTAACAGTGCAGGCATACAAAAATTATTGGTACAAAAGATAAAGGAATAAAGGCAGAGATAGCTACAAAGAATCTTATCAAAGAAAACCTGGAACAATGATGTTTGAAGACATAAACACACGTATAACTTTGCTGTTGTGTTGTTGGTGATGTTTTATAGACTATAATATTAATTTTTGAATGTACTTTTTGAATTTGTTTAAAATTGTTTTTATGGTTATTTTGCATACTGCCAAATTTACACTACCGCACATGAGATGGGCTCATTATGGTTCTCACTATGTCCTGAGAGAGCTTGTTTAGTCATATAGTACTTAAGGTTAGAGGGACGTGGTGGCTCAGTGGCTAAGATGCTGAGCTTGTCGATCAGAAAGGTTGGCAATTTGGCGGTTCGAATCCCTAGCACCGCGTAATGGAGTGAGCTCCCATTACCTGTCCCAGCTTCTGCCAGCCTAGCAGTTCGAAAGCATGTAAAAATGCAAGTAGATAAATAGGGTCAACTTTGGTGGAAAGGTAATAGTGTGTGTGCCTTTGGCATTCAGTCATGCTGGCCACATGACCACAGAGATGTCTTTGGACAGTGCTGGCTCTTCGTCTTTGTAACGGAGATGAGCACCGCCCCCTAAAGCTGGAAACGACTAGCACGTATGTGTGAGGGGAACCTTTACCTTTACTTAAGGTTAAGACATTCCTTCTAATTTAATATGGGTTTTTCCCTTCTATTATATCTTATGACCAAAAATGTTTAGCTTTTTTCTGTTTTCATCAAAGAACCTGATTTCTTGAGTGCATTCTTCTGTGTATCACTCTCAATTGGTTAACATTCTTGTTAAAACTTGGCACCCAAGACTGTCTAGAATGAGGAAATGTTTTGTGAAAATATACATAAGATTGTATCTCACTTGCTATTATATGCATCCAGGTAGTCCATGACTTATGACCACAACTGAGCTCAAATTTTCTATTGTTAAATGAAACATTTGTTAAGTGAGTTTTGCCCCATTTTACGACCTTTTTTGTCACAGTTATTAAGTGAATCACTGCAGTTGTTAAGTTAGTAACACGAACATGAATCTGACTTAGCTTGTCAGGTCATGAAAGGGGTTCACATGACCTCGGGACACTGCAATGGTCAAAAGTATGAACCAGTTGCCAAGCATTTGAATTTTGATCACATGATCATGAGGCTGCTACAAAAGTTACAAGTGTCATGTCAAAAACGGTCATGTCACTTTTTTCAGTGCCACTGTAACTTTGAAGGTCACTAAATGAACTGTTGTAAGTCGAGGACTACCTGTACTTATGCCATATTTGATCATAATTGGACTTTTCTACTGACACATTCTTGATTTTTAAAATAACACAATCTGAACGGTCAAATATATTTTTGTTCTTATTTCTTATGTACAATGATAACAAAAGCTTTGAACTGAACTTGAACTTAAAATATTTTCATGAGTTTGAATCAACTCTCCACCTGCAGCACGCCTGAAAACAGCACATTTTCAGCACCCATAACATTTGTTCATAAAGAAATTCTAGTGCAGCATGAACCTTTGCAACATTTATATAAAAGAGTTCATAAAGCTAGGTGACATTCAAATAATGCAATCCAGTTTAAATTTAAACAAGACTCCAAACGCGACTTTATAGATTAATAATGTCTACGTATCCAGACTTCGTTTTTTGTAACTGAGACAGGAACAAAACAGGAAATAAGCACCGAAACAACAAGCTAGTTCTTCTACCTCGTTTCTATACGTACCTCGAGATTCCTAAACAATAAGCATCGCACCGTTGAAAACTTGGCTTTTCTTAGTGTTTTTTTTCTCCAAAGGGAAAAACACGCATGCGTAGCATACTCGTGGTAGAACTCGTACAAATGTGCCGCAAGAAAATATCTCCCTCAGATAGCAATTAAGAGGGAGGAGCTTGTAATTTTTCATTCCAAGACCTCCTCTTATTGCTTATTGGTGGCGAGTGAAGGGGCGTGACCGGATATGTAAATATAACCCGGCTTTTGCAGACGGAAGCAAGGGAAGGGGGGAAGTGCAACCGGCATTTTTCGTAAATGGCGGAGAAGGAAGAGGCGTGGCCACGTAGGAAGGGGCGGGCCAACCAAGAGCTGGAGGGCGCGGCCTACATGCAAATCTAAGCACAGATATTACTGATTGAAGGAGAGGCAGATGATAGGCTGGGTTATGGAAAGGAGGGCGTTGTTATCTCGGATCTGTAGTCTAGCCTCCGAAGCTTCATTTAGCTCCGCCCCACCGTTTAAAAGTCGCGGCGCCTGCGCAGTGGATGGAAATGAGGACTTAGTCTGTTACACAACCGACTGGGCTGTTTAGGGAGCTGTGGTTTCCCTTTGGCTTCACGTCCTTGCCTCTCCCGGGTTTTTCTTGCCTACGATCGTGGTAAAGGCATGAGTGGGGATCAGCTGCATAACGACTTCCAGGTAAGGGCGGGGGGGCTCTCGTTTTTCTAGCAGTTAATGGGAAGAAAGAAAAGGCTGTGGACGTTGAGGCCTTTCTCCGATCCCCTTTTGAGGGAAAAAGTGGAGGGTTTCTGATGGTGGTGAAGAAGAAAAATTTATGCCCATAATTTTAGCCGTTCATCAGAAAGACTGATAATACTTTAATGTTAATATTTTCAGGCCGGGTACAATCTTGCTAGGTACTTGGGGGGACGGGGATCCTACTCCCAGGTTTTCGACAGAGGTTTCTTTTTTTGGAGGGGGGGGGGAAGTCCCCGTTTCCATGGCTGTGTCCATGGGCCCTTAATCATATTCCGAGCCTCTCCTCTTCCCCCCTCCGGAGTTCCCTTTAAGTTGCGTATTTTTCCAATAAGCCCCGATTAAACTGGCTACCATTCCCTAAAAGGGTCCTGAAGGTGGCCAGTTATCTGTCTTTGCCGATTTCTTCCCTCCGTTTCTCGGACATGGGGGGGGAGAGAGAACGACTCAAAAGAGGGTTGGTGGGGGGGGGAAGGTTAGGAGGTCTGAGGAAACCTGGGAATTGAGAGCTACGCACGAGGAGGAAGGCAATTAAAACTGGAGGGCAAAACTTCGGTGGGGGGGCGTGGGGGAAGGGAGGTGGTGGTAAAAATCGCAATTCGGTCTCTCTCTTTTTTGTCGTGGTATCGATGTACTTTGTCCTTAGGGATGATTTCTTCCCCTTACCCAGACTACCTTGTTTAAAAATGCACGTAGTTTCTGTGTGAAAACCATTCCTTGGTCCTGGGATGCCTTTTAAAACGTATTTTTCCCGTTTTTCCTTTTCAATAATAGATTGATCCAGGTTTCCGAGCGAATGGTGAGTGCCTTTTCCCTAACCTTATAAAAGTGGGATCGGGGTTGTTTTTTTCCTGCCCCCGCTGTCTTTTTCTCCTTCTCATTGCTAAGGACAGACATGGCGTCCCAGAGACTAAGTCCCGTCTCCTCGCTCATCGGCCCCATTGTTCCCATCGAGGTTCCTAATTCTCCGAAATCTTAAAACCCTCGGCCTTTTTGACATAGTTTCTCCGTAGTGAGGACAATTGAGACCCCGGATCAGTCTTCCTTTGTTTTGTAAAAATCTCTCCTGGGCCTCTATTCGCCCCAGAAAGTCGCCTTGTCGACGGTCGGGACTTAGTCTCTGCGCCATTTTCTTTTTCTCTCTCTTCCCTGTGTGTGTCTTTCTCCTTCTCCTCCTCCCTCGAGCTGCCTACAAGGAGCCTTCCGCAGTAAAAAAAAAAAAAAAAAACCACACGAAATAATCAATAACCATGTTTAACCTACCCTTCCTGAAAGGGGGGAAACATCGCTTGGTTTGGGTTTTCATTTTAAAAGCAGCACTTTGTCGTTTGGTTGTCTTTTTTTATTCATATCTCCTCCTCAGTTCCTTCTCCCCCGGGTCTGTTTCTTTCAGTCCATTCCGCTTCCTTCCATTCCCCCTATAACAAAAGGTGGTTGCAACATGTTGCTGTTGAACAGATTTTCTATCTTTTTAAGTAAGGAACCTATTTAAGATCTAAATGCAGAAACTGATTGGGTGGGGTTTCTGTGTTAATATCCCTGAATAAAACTCAGTGGGTGGTTTCAGAATAGTATCCCACATCACTTTGGTAAAGTTAAATAGTTGATGCACGATATTCTTTGTCTTCAGTAGAAGAAGAATAAATATATTGTGTATTTTTTTAAAAAAACAACAACTCTGTATGGTATGTGAATGGGTGGAGGAAGTCATTATCTTATGAAAGGCTTTGTCACTTTGGATAGCAAGCTTTCCCAACCCCTTTGAAAGAAGAAAATGAGACACAAAGTTGGAATGGCATATCTGTCAAAAATGCCAAGATGGTTTGCTCCACCTTTTAAAAATGTGATTTTTCCTTAGAATGCAGCTTTCAGGTGCTGTATGGTACTGGGTATTTTGCTTTCATAAAACATTGCCATCTTCTAGGTAGCATACTTTAAACATTAGTTACTAGTGGACTCTGTCACCTACATTTCTGCTGTTGTGTAAGATGTTCTGATACAAGAACAGTATATTAAGGTATGCAGATAGGTTTCTTCCTTTATACAGATGTACTTAATTTTAAAAGAATATATTTGATCCCAAAATGAAGTTCATAGAACTGCTTGAATTTAAGCATGGAGGTTATTTTTTGCAATTGTTAAAGGGAAGATAATCCCACACATGAATTACATACAAATACATATGTTTAAAATTTGACTTGAAAGTGTTTCCAGTGCTCTGGCTATCCTTTTTTTAATGGAATAATTTAATTGAAAGTATGTTGAGTCTTTCAGTTTCTGGCTTAATTTAAAAAATATTGGGGGATCTAATTCGTGTTTTGTTCAGGCACATAATTGCCATATTAGCTCTTTTATCTCAACATAGAAATGACATCTAACCATGTATATCTTGTTTTTGGAGGTGTTTCTAGTTTATTGGTTGTTTCAAGCAGAAAGGATACATATTGTTTTTCTTACTATTATAGACCCAATCTTTCCCCTCAACAGTTTTATCATTGTAGTAATTAATAGAGCCACAGGTTTCAATGTTCAAGTAATAAAACTGGCAATACTCATGTCCTCAGTGACCTTGCCACTAAGTCAAAATTTGCTTTCATGTTCTTTTCTACTAATCTATAGTATATACTATATGTGTGCTATATTATATATTGCTCCTGATTTCTCATCTATAATTGCCTACTGCTGTTAGTGTTTTCAATATCCAATTTAATGTGCCCAGGTGCTTTACCTAAAAGTTATTTTTACCTTCTTATTTGACTTATATGTGCCAAGATGTTACATATTTTTTTATTTTACTAATTATAAGCTGATACAATTTTATGCTGACAAAAACCTATTAATGAGTAGTTTTAAATTAGTTTAATTTTCACCACTAGCATGTTTATGGACTTTTCAATTTCTCTATTTTCTCTGATGATAGTTTCTTCAGTTCTAAAATTGCAAAATGTTTTTAAAACTCAAAATTGCCAAGCTATTGTCTCCTTAGTTACATTTATTTTAAAATAGCTACTGATTAAAACAGCATTCCCCATTTTTCAACATATATTAGCTATTCATATGCAATTACAGTATCTGTATTCATGTGATGAATGCTCAATTGATATACTGTAATGTGCCACCTTATATACATAGTTTCAGATTTTATAAGCTAAGTAGAAGTATACTAGAATTTTTTTGTTGTTGATGGGAAATACCCAGGGAATTAGACTGGTATTTGCAGTGTTCTCTGCAAATAAAATTAAACTCTTATTTATACTAGCGTCAGAAACAAAGTGATTTTAAAGATTCCAACTGATATAACTTTGGCTGGCAATATCTTAGTGAGATTGTCAGTATTCAAGTAGTTTCCTAAAATGCAATTTATGTGATTTTTATTGGATGTTCTGTTTTTTAACTTAAGATTCTTACTTCTGTATACTCTTAATCATTAATATTAATGTTTATAAATATCTAAGATTTATTTTGGTTGTTTAAAGGATTCTTTCTCACTTCACAGATACATGTTTGCATCAACCACTTAAGAAATTTTATTAAACATTTGAGTAAAGCACCAAGGAAAATCTTTTTAGATCTTGACCATTTTACAATAAAGATTTGCTAATTTAGTTACCTATATCTATCCTCCCCCATTTAATGTATATTCACAACCAGCATTGCCATTTTGAAAGCTAATATACATGTTTAACTGCATACAAAGTATTGTTAGCTCATAGATGCCTTGACTATATTCTGTCAGAGTGCAGTTCTGAAAGCACTTTAACCATCTGCTCATGTTGTAGAACCGTAGAATTCAAAAGATTAGAGGTCAACTAGTTCAGTCTGCTGCTCAGTGCAGGACGCATAGAACATTTCTGACAGATGACAATGCAGCCTCTATTTGAAGGACTCCTAACTTTGTTTTGCGGCCTATTCCACAGATGCAGGATGTTACATTTCTCCTTTTTTGAAATCCATCTGATTTATTTCAACTAGCTCAAGCCTGTTTACACCTTTTTGAATTTCCTCTTTCATCAAAATATTAATGCTACCTATTGTGTCATCTGCAAACAACTTCCCTCATCCAAAATACTGATTAAAAATGTTCACCAGCAGGACAGGGGCCATGTGGCATTCTATTGAATAGTTCTCTCAAGATGAATCGGTGCCTTTGAGTATTGAATCATCCAATAGTATCATCTTCTATCCTTATTTTTCTATTTTGTAAAGGAGAATTTAAGCAAGCCTTTTGAAGGTTTTGCTGAGGTCCAGGTATACTTTGTCTGCAGCATTCCCTTGACCTACCTACTCTATCAAATAATAGATTAACTATATGTCAGGCAAACTCTGGATCTTGTTAATGCTAACAATAAGATTTACTCCAATGTAGATGTCAGACTGACAATTCTATGTCTGTGGCTTCCCAGGTTGTCTTCCTTTCTCTTTTTAACAATGAGGTGACGACATTTACTCTCTTCCAGTCTTCTGAAACTTTACCAATCCCCAGAATAAGTAGGTTATGACTATTAAAATAGATCCATTGCAACTTAAAACTGCATATCATTCAGTTTTTAATTGGCTTTTCATTCAGTATTTTATTCTAATGATTACATCTTTATTATCTATTGGAAAACCTGAAAACGTTATCCAGTTATGGTAGACCATTTGATTCCAGGATTTATATCTTCTTTCAGGATATAATTGTTTCGAGACTAAACCTAAATAATGTTAGGATTTTAAAATAATTACATGGTGAGCATTTAGAAGTAAATGACCCCTGTTGTAATGTAGAGATGGTTGTTACATGTATTTCAATAGTTCCATGGAAATTACTCTTTTGCAACATGAATTTCCATGTCAAGCCAAGGAAAATTTTTGAAATCTATTTCAGCAAGAGTTTTTTCCTCAACTAACAAGAGTGTATGTGTTTGAATTCCTGTTGCCCTTCAATATCTGCATTGTTTGCAAAACATGGCTATTTTTTTCATTTTACAAATAAAGATTTGGAGCTGCTAAGAGGCACCCTGATTCTTTCAGTAACTTTTTTTGCGGTGCGTAAGACTTTTTGTGTTTCTTAAGAGAATAATAAATTTCAGCTAACTTGCAATGCATTCTCAATAAATGTTATTGAGTACGATCTGGTTTTACAAAATATTATCTGAATAATACCAGTACATTATTTTCTGAAGTTTGAAGGAATTGTCTAAACCTCCAACTTTTTGGAAGTTCATATTTGTAAGCACCTCTCACTGAAGTATATATATGCAATATAATTTGAACCATTTACTTGGACATAAGTTCTAATTATAAGCAGGATCCATTTCTTAGTAAGTGTTGTGGAGGTCAGCAATTTTGACAGCTTTAAAGAGGGACTAGATTGACTGTCAATGTTACTACTCAAGATGATAAAGTAATTCTAGAATCAGAAGCAATGCAAATTGCAGGTAAACTTAAGGAAAATATTGCTGCACATGTCCTATTTGTAAATGTACAGCATTTTATTGTCTAGAAAATTATTACTATAGCACTGTATTACTCAATATATGTAGGAGACCTAAGTAAAGAAAGGCCTTACATATAAAAGATATTAATCTTAGTGATGTTTAATAAGATAGCTAAACTATTCATTTGTAAATAGTGATATATAGTGTAAGGATATTACAGATTGTATAGATCACTTGAATTAATTTGTATTCAAATATTCAAACAGGAATATCTATGTTTAGTGTTGTTAGGAAATGAATTTGCTTGCAATTTCCTAAATCATTCTTTTTAAAACAAGGCATGTGAAAACCTGGTGCACCAAATCAAATGATATATGCT